ACTGAGCTCGAAAACCTCCAGAAAGTATGTAAAGATCGGAAGAACGTGACGTGGTGGAGGAAACTCCATGATAGGAGTTTCACTGTTTCGTGATGGAGAAGATTGCGGTTTTGAGATACTAGAGATGAACGAAAAACTTCTTAGGATATTAATATTTTACCATATCTTTCTCCGGAGATGCAACTCGGATCTTTTTTCACGATTTCTCATGAAAACTAAATAATAGGATATTTAAGGAAGACTGTCTAACTCTTTGAGGGGATAGTCGTGTGAATGTTCGCGTCCGGGCACCACATACACGGGTAGCGGTAGCTCCGAGTGTAAGACCATTAACGGAATATGTCACTCACGACGGAACGGAGCGGCTTCATGTCGATGCTCTAGGGCTGGGTTGCCGCCTGACGGCTTCTTCGTTCATGTGATCTTTCGCCGCCTCCGAACCTTATTTCAGTCGTCGGAGATGAGGATCCGAGGTCCCAACGCGAATCTCCTCGACTTTCGAGGAAGCCGATCGCTTACCCCGAGCTCGTCATACATGCTCATGGAAGCCAGGTGGGCGCTCAGGAAAAGTTGTCCCTGACGGGGTCATCCGAGAAGCCTCGGGATCCGTTCCTGCGCTTCCTACACTCGTTCAGGACCTCTCCTTCCTTCGTCTGGTCTCGTGAAAATCTTTTTCTAAGGGAGCAAATCTCTCGCTTTATCCCTGGAGGCTCCAACGAGTCTGCTTGTGAGGTATCCGTGGCCGTCCCGACTGATATACCTTCCCCCGGATGTAGTCTTTAACCATCAAGTATATTTCCGCGAACGAGTAGCCAGATTTAGAACCACTCGTCCCGAATGTGAATAGTTATATTTGAAGAATCGTCCGTATTCAGAGTCCTAGCCATCTTGTACGTTACGGAACACCGGAAATAATGGATGTCTGATCTCAAAAACGTACTTAATAAATGGAGTCGAAGTTGATATTTAGTAATCTCTTCCGGTGGGGAACCGAACAAGATATTGAGCGAATTTGCGTCGGTCGCGGCTATCGTTGAGTCAAGCTTGCGACCATTTGGGATCGATATCCCAGCGTTCCTGATCCAGAAGCCTGGACGGAGCGATCGAGACAGGCTCATTCCTTTTCCGCGAGAAGTCGCGGGCGCGGTCACTGCTCGGCTTTTTGATCGTTCATTCAAGAGAGCAGAGTAACAATGTGACTTGCTCGTCAATTTATTCACTCGGCATCTGCCTCCGCCGTCTCTTTCGCCTACGCCTAAATTCGATTATAGTAGTCAGCCTTCCAATCTGCTTCTATTTGATTGATAATAATTTCTACGAATCATCATCGTCTTCCTAGGAGATTCTTGAATCGCACCGTGATCCGAAATTTCTCAACGACAAATGAATGTGGAATTGAAAGAGGCGCCGCGCACATATCACGTCATATCCTTCAATATCAACAATCAGAAGGTGATACCCAGACACAATCAGTACTGGCCAGAAGTTCATCGAAATAATTTGATGCGAGAACCTAGAGAGAGCGCCCCCCATTATTCGATTGCACCATGCGTGGGATGACTCTACCGTGCGGAAGCTCACAACTAAGATGATTCGCGCTAATAACTCGACGATATATTTCCGGACGTTGGCTCATCGAAAGACACCTAGTCTGCAACCGCTCTCAACATTCAATTCAAAGCTCGAATAAACATGACGGACTCGGTGGAAAAAAATCCGACTCAAGCTTGAAACCGGGTTCATCGCATAGCATCGATCCGAAAGAAACAGCGACAATTCTCATCGAAGCTATTAAGCAGAGTTCCTTATCTTCCGAAAGTGAAATTCGCCGCAGAGCTCCCGGATTCGCTTTGGCACAGAGTCCCCACAGCAGAATTCTAATAAGTTCCTATTCTCCTTCATTTCCAACGACAGTGACCTGCGTCCCCCAGAATAAATCCATGACTCTCTATTTTGTCTCGTCTGTACTCAGAGAACGCCGAAGAATGTAGAATCAGTGCAAAAATTCGCTGGCATATAATCGCGAAAATAGTCGAACAGGATTGGTTAGTCGCTGGTATGAAACTCTCTCGCTCTCTATAATAGGTCAAAATTCACGTATCGATCACCTGCTTTCTATGTACACTTCAATTACAGAGTGGAGTGCCAGGCGCCCCACGGGGAATGTGACCTCTCTCGACGTTCTGTAGAATTTGCGGACATCAGACTCCGTTTGGGTCTCTGTTCGAACTTCTATCTCCCTCCGCGTCCCACTTCGACGTCGAGACCGATGGACAATGATCGATGGATGATTGTAATGGACGGCTTCAAGTCTGATTGCTTTTTGCTTAGTGAACAGCTCAATTGAATAATTAATCATCCAACAACTCGGTGATGGACGCTCCTACTACATAGCATAACGTCCTTATTGTAAGACGCAGTTACTCTCCTCATCCTCGTCGCTCCCCTGCCGGAAATTCTCCACAGATCTCGTCCTCGAAGCCTGCAGCTCACCATCACTGGAAATTCTTAGCGGTTTCAAGTCTGGGTGTGACATGGAATGCGTGAGACCCGTTGCCTCGAGCCGGACCTCTTCCTCTGGAATGAAAAAGAGAAGTGCTTCAGTCCGGGATGTCGCCAACGGAGAAGCTGCGACGAAAAATCTCCCACGGCTGAACGAGCTCGAAGGGAATACTAACCATGATCCAGCGGTTGCAGCTTACACCGATTGATATCAATATTGTCTTCTTTGGCGAGAATTTCACTCCCGTCCGAATCTGCACTCGGCGGTCGTTGACCGACGGGCGAGCCAGGCTTCGATCCAGGCACGGAGTTGATCAGGAAAGCTTCATCATTCTGATTCCCTGGGCTTTTGAGGAGTGACGGAGCTTGGAGACTCAATTTCAGACTGCGATTTATCTGAGCAAATACGCTTTGAAAGAATGGACGGTAGCCGGCACTGGAAAGGAATAGATCTATTCTGACCCACGCGGTTTGACAAGCTGTCGGGAAAAAGGAATACATCGTGATTTCTAGAATGAGAATATTCATCGATGACGATGACTAGACAGATATGTTTCTCACCACTCCTTGTGCGCCCAAAGGTCGAAAGTTTGTACTGCCTGCCTATGTACACTTGAGCGGAGGGCAAACTTCACCACGAGGGACGCTTGGGTCAGAATAACGGCACAGACCAGCGCCCAGTCGTAGCATTCGTACGCCGTGAACAAATCGCTCAGTTGAGAAATCTGTTTTAGTATTCGTTCCTTCTCTTTCTCGTTCCAGGGGCCGGTGGGACCTTCGAAACGGAAGAAGCTCTTAGGCTCTATCTCGGAGGCCGGACAAAAGGCTCGAATTATAGGGGGCTGATAATTTCCGATTAATTCTCGATCCTCACCGAATTTCCTGGTGTCTGTATTGGGACTCCCGTCTCCCGGAGTCGCATGGTGGCTCAAGCTCTCCGTTTGATTCATCTGCCAGCTTCCGGCATCCGAAACATTCAACGAGCTGCATTCAGCATTGCGAATTACGACGTGCGTCCCGTCCCGAGAATCGGCTTCAGTGTTCAACGATGGCGGTTGCAATGGCGCGTCAATCGAGGTGAAGCCCGAGTCGGACGCCATGCTAGAACTCCGGGGGACGCTGTGACCGAATATCGAAGCCATTCCGTTCGATCCGTTCGAGCTATTTGTGGGCGATTCGCTAGAAGCGGTACTCGAATCTAGAACAAAGCAAGCATTCAGATGAGAACTCCTTGGCGTCAATCGCTTGGGTTGTCGATTGAGCGTGATGCGAGCGACGGCTTCGATATAGAGAAACAATGCAAACCCTCGGTAATCGAATCGCCCACTCCATGATATACATTCATGCTCCCGCTTCTTCAAGGGAGAGCGATCGACAATGATCAGCAACGAAGGCTCAATCTGCTCAACTCACCACTTCCAGGAACGTAGGGTGGGAAAGGGAATTCGAAGTCCCTATGTAAGTTCTTCAGAGCTGAGGGGTAATCCGATATTTTGCCGGCCTTGTTCTTCTCTTTAGCAAGAAACGCTCCCATGGGGAAATCCAGATAAGCAACGAAGAATCCCAATTTGCGAAGTTGACCGGCTTGTAGCAACTTCTTCGCGTATCTCGATAATATCACGTCGATAAATGCTTCGTCCATGATTTCAGAGTCGTCTCTGAAATCGAAGATGAGGTCAGAATCGAGATTAAGAAGCGAAAATTGGAAGAAGGAACATTCAGGGAGAAGCGTGCAGAACGAGAAATCGACCATGAGCAGCAAGCTCGGGGCTCGTCACAATATCATGTAGAATATTTTCCCACTTCCCCGGCAGAGTTCCACGACTTAACCCACCTCGACGAACTTGTGCTGAGCTTAGGTTGAGCGGGGGTTTTCGGTTCCGAGGAACTTTCGCTTTTCGACGAGAGTCTCTGTCGCGTATTCTGCGACTGGCCCCTCATGCTTGTCATCATGAGCGTAATGTCATCGTGAGGCTTGACCATCGAAACTTGGCCGCCCTTGGCTCCGGCGCATGGAGCCATCGACGGTGTGAGGGACGCTCTCGGTGGAGATTCCACATCGGACGGATCGATTGCTCTCAGGAACCGGATGATGTCCTTGGCAAGCTGCCATTTGCCGGCATCTAGAGCCGAACCCAAGAGAATGGTAGCCTGCTGTCGAGACACGAGCGCCACTTCGAGATTCTGCAGCACTAACAGATACGAGGTGGCTGTTTCAAGTTGACCCTGTAGGATGCACTCTTTGAACAGATCTTTAGGATTTCCAACAGCTGAGAACAGATACGGCCACAGTGCCAACTCGGTTTTCCGGGCACATTGAACAACGGTTGTGAGGAAGACGGGGAACTCCCGAATGAAGTCGATAACACGTGGCAACAGTGCGTCGTGGATGGGTAACGATGAGTTGGCTTCTTCTTCCAGAACCTCGTGAAGAAGGAGTTCGAGCGAGTGATTGAAGTAGGGCAGGTGGCTGCAGCTTTTCGCGATCTGCCAAGCGTGGCTCCCGAGATTCCGAGTCAAGAGGTTATTGATGATCGGATGCAGATACACCTGACTTGATTTGGACACGACACAATGAGGAAAACTTGGGAATAAACTGTTGATCGATACGTCGCTTTCGGCTCCGAGAACGATGGCCTCGTTGAAGAGAATCGCCAGCGGGTAGATGTTGACCTTGATCTCCAACATGATGCGTTTCGACATGAAGCTGTGCTCCTCATCGGTGGTTTGCAAGAGTGGCAGCCAGATATGCATTCCGGCGGCCCCGCATGCGATGTACAGCGCTTCGGTCAGATGAGGCATCTTCGGATTGGGATTGCACGATATCCACATGTTCTCTACTCCCGTGGCTAAAACTATCGGATTGCCGTAGGCGCATTCGCCGAGTTTCGGGGATGGGCCAGCCAACGACGGCCTCCTCCGGGTCGCTGCGAAAACATCCTGTTGAAGTAGGTAGAGACGTCCGCATACGTTGAGCAATATGGATTCCGGCCGCTTCTGAATATAGGCCGGTATAGGAGTCACAGATAGATTCGTCAACGTCGCAGATATGACGCAGAGACAGTGCGGCAGCAGACTGGAGACGTCGATTTGCTCGAGTTTAACAAGTTCGATCCCCGTCGACGAGGGGGTCGTGCGACGCTGCATGAGATAAATATTTATGTGCGAGTTCGACAGGAACACCAGGAGTTTATCTTCGCATGTCGATAGATGAAGCACTTGAGTCTCGCATTTGTAAATGACGGCGTTACAGTTGTCCAAGCGCTCGTCCCTCGGATACATGCGGATCTCATCTCCCGGATCCTTGAGGTTGAGGCATCCGCAGACGACGTAGTCCGACCACCAGAGCACACCGCCGATGATGTTGAAGTCCTGCTCTTGGGTTTCGTTACCGAAAAACTTCCACTTTTTCGTTTGTAACGAATACAGACAGAAGCCACTCCGTCCGGCGATGCAGAGGTTATTCGCATCGCTGTCGATACACGAGTAGCAGATTGGGCCGTTCAGGGCTGAATATGTACTGGGTACGACAATGTGGATCCAATGTTTGTTGGCGGCATGGTTTTCCAACGAGGGGCCGGACCACGGGGATCCTGGCTCGTTTTGTTTCCGCGATAAGGTGTCCTTTGAGCTGATAAGTACACTGGACGCTCCTTGAAGGAGGATTTTCTGCTGATCGCTCTGAGGCGCCGAGTAATTAGTGGCCGCCGCTTTCATAAAACTCAGCAGGCACAGGTCTTCCCGATCGGAGCCGAGCCAAAGGTTGTAGCCGTGGAAGCCCCACTCCATCGCTCGGATCTGTATCTTGCAGTAGGGGGATTCCCAATTGAGTGAGCAGAAGATCAGCGATCCGAAAACAGACCAAACGGCCAGGCCGCATTTCTCCCACGCGACGGCAACGGCCGTGTTGTCTATCGTCCACTGTATACATCGGACAGGTCCGGCGACTTTCGCGACATCTGGAAGGAAATCAGAGCATGGAGAACTCACTACAAGGTGGAAATCCTATTCATGTCACTTCGGTTCCATCGGGCTGATTTATTAGATTTACGGTCGATTCACGCGCTTTGCCCCACCCCAGACAACGAGGAAACGACTCCGCCCCTGTTTGTTGTCGCATCATGCATTATTCGACGATATGCTGCTGCTGTCGTTTCAGATGGTGCCGTCGTCGTCACGGTGATCCTCATTGTGGTTGTCCCTTCATTTGCCCCTTGTAACTAACCTGGGAAGTCTTTGTCGCTCAGAGTCAATTTGTGCGACAACACAAAGGTGACGGTGGCTTCGTCGAGGTAATAAACGACCCCCTCCGAGTTGCTGAGACCGTACGCGATGAGTCTGTAGCGGTGATTGACAGCGGTACAAGTTGCCTCGGTGACGTCCATGATCCAAACACCTTGGATTTCTCTCGGAGAAAACTGATTCGTTGTTGCCATTATAACGCCGGCACGCCCATTCGCGAACACCAACGATAGAGAACCGATCAGCGGGAGATATTGTATATCCACCACCTCGTAGGTCTCGTTGGTGAAGCTGCTCCCTGGAATCATTGATTTTTGGACTCAAGTTCTGGTCGAACTGTATCTGAATTCGTATCAATGAGCCATGAGTCGATTTCACAGATCGAATTCTCTTAACGGAGACAGCCAATGCGAAAAAATCAATTCCTCCGTGACCGAGAGGAGAGGAATTTCAATCAAATCTATCCGGGGGAGTTCAATGAAGTTTTACGCTAGGAATCCAAGAATTTTCCATGACTTCATTGCTAGATATCCCCGTGCGTTCACGTCTGAAATAATGACTGAAACACACTTACGCCAAGTGTAGACTTCGGTGGCAAACTTGACTTCCTTGAGATTTATGGTGAGATCTTCCCGAACCATTCCGTCCCATGCTATCCGAAGTATCAATCCATCACTCTGAGCGACGAGCAGCTCGTCTCGGAACGACAGGATGGCAGAAATTCTAGTTCCAAGAGAGCATCCTCCGGCGAGTCTTAAGGTGATTGGGTAAATTTTTTCCTGCGGAGTAAATTACATGGGCTCAGATTCAAGGAACCACCGCGCTTTTTCCTGAAGCTTTCTTGGTCTCAATTTTTTCGAGGTTCTAAAGCATCAAATTCCCCCTCCCTCCTCCTCCCGTGGCATGATACCTCAATTCCCGGTGAGCTCGCTCTTCCAGTACGAGCCTCCCTCTACAAGATATACAATACTGCGTTCTGCATCGACCATCACTGCGGAAGACCCGGGGACCGATCAGATGCGAATGCCGGCACTCCATGCCATGCCTCCCCAGGGGTCGCGGAAATGAACTATGAGCGCGTCCCGAGCACGCGTTCTCTCCACAAAAGACTAGGTATGAGCGGTCCAGTCCACGAAGTCTCACAGGGAAAATCCGTCGCAGACAGCATGGAAAACTTCTGTGACAGCATTAACTTGAGCGGATATCTCCCACGCAGAGCATCGGGGAGCGCGGGCAATTTGCGATAACGAGGGAGCCTCGCTGTTCTGCGTAAAGAGTTCTCAGAAATTCAAACCTCGAACAAAGCAATTGGACAGATTGCTGTCTGTCACCGTGACGTCCCATGCCTGGCGATGGAACGAAACGGAAGGATCGAGGGGATTCATATATGTAACTCTCCTCGAGGCAGATGCCGGAAGAATGTGAAGGCGACATACGCCCCTAATTTGTCGCGTAAAAGGAATCTCCATTCAGAATGAGCCGATACTTAGATATTTGAATCGCGAAGCTTACACGAGTTGATTTCGCGAATCGGGGAATACCTAAGTCTCTAGAATGAGTCAGCATTCAATAAGATCGATGCATCGATCGCACCATACCGAGGAATACTCCCGCTCCATCTGAAGGCGCGCGGCTTTTTTTCTTGACACAAAAATAACTCGAGGGACTCACCTTGATGTAAAGCTCCGAACTCTCACGTTTGAAGGCTCCCGTGACATCCCGTTGCTCGTAAATTGGATCGGTAAACTCGTTTAAATCCAGATGGAAGAAGAGGATGTGATCTTTTGAAGTGACGATTGCTAGGCCTGAAGAGTCCCGCCGCCAGACAACTCTCGTGTTTGAGCCATGGTTCGATAGTGAGTCCATGGAACGTCGATGACTCCATAGGGGCAGAGTCATCTGAAATGAAAGAATACATATGCGTTATCACTCGAATTTATTCGGCATGTCACTTGACGAGAGCTCGATTCGCCATCTCGGAGAGGCCGGCGAAACATCAACCAGGTAAGGTCAGCGGTAAGCCGTGGGTGACTGTGAGACTTGCTCATCGAGACCTCCCACCAATCTGCTCCGGAAGTGAGCCGAAATCAATCCTCGGGGTAAGATTGCGCGTGCCAGCCTGCCACGGGGGCAATGGCATTGGACCAGTCGAAAAATATCCACATGATATTCCCATTGGAACTTGAGGAACCAAAGGGTGCGCTCCTCGGGCGGTCGGGGACATCCCGGTGAACTCGATTTTTCTCAAAAACTCCAGAGTTCCCCAGGAAGATGAGAAAACACTCCACATTCTCTTCGAAGCGCCTTTGGACCCTTTGAAAGCCATACACCGTTCACGACGAGGCACCGCCTGGCGAAGTCGGAGCGGCTCGTCAATAATGTATCCACTTGTGAACGAGGGAAGGAATTTCAGCAAAAACACGCTTTATTCAATCAGTTAGAAAAGGGAGCTTCTAACTATTCAGGGCTTTTTTTGGAACGGTCAGGACTCGTCTCCGGATGGAATCAGAGGGAATTCGGCGGAGCACCTCGACGGAGTTTCGGAGAGCGTAGTAGTCGAATGGCCGGATTGAGCTCGAGTCCAGCCCGATCACGGAATGGGAAGCATATCATACAAGGAGTGCCCGATCCGGGAGCCAGCCCGATCGAAGAGAAACACGTGAGCCCGAGCGATTGATTCGCTGATGCGCTCAGCGCCGAGTTTGTGGCGGGGTTGTTGCTGCGCTGTCGCCGCGGGCAAACGACAGCACAAATTCAAGCTAACGGGATCTCTAGTTGCCATCCATTCTGGATAATGGCGACGGAAAGTTGTTCGAGATGACATGTGCTTTTACTCGAACACATGGAATGTTCATTGCCTGATCAACCAAATGACGCTGCGCCAAGGTCGAGGCGTTTTTTTCCGAAGGGAGAGAGCTCATTATCCAAACGTCTCCTCGAGGTTCTTCTACCGGCCGGAACGAGTGAACACGACAGCATGTCGCTGGAGTTTTTTCCGCTGAACAGTCCAGAGGTCGATCTTCGATGACAGTCGTGGACGATGTTTACAACGAGCGCAATTCCATAACATTCTCTTTGAATCTCCGTCAACTCCGATTCAAGGCGGTGCCTTCTCTTATTAGGCTCCGGAGAAATTGCTTACTGCGCTGGTCGAGCGCCGACCGGAATCAATGTCTTTACCGCTACATTTCTTGGAAGCCCACAGAAGCCCCCGAAAGTGGAACACGGATTAAAGCCGTCCCAGAAACCGAACCGCACTTCCGACAGATCCTCCGGGATCCTTCGACAGCTCACGTACATTTTTCCCAATCCTTCACTCGTCACGGGCGTCCCTCCGAATCGAGTGTGGACTCACAGGATGACCGCGGGAATCGAACTCACCTTCTCTACCCAAATGGATATGCTGTCCGGCTGGAGTACTGCGAACAATGTCCTAGGATAGTCCGCAGAAATCTGAAGTACTGGACCGTTGAGGCCCAAGTACTTCGGCCAACGCACCGGAAAGTACATGGTTCCGTTCACATCACACAAAATAATAAATGCACATCACTACAGTTCCCCTCCTCTACTACTCCGATGTAGTGTGGTGATTATTCTATCCGCTCGTGCTGCCACTGCAGCTGAGAAGTGCTCCATAGACACTACCAGTGCCAACCAGCTGCCACAGGAAACGTCACGAAGCCAAAACAATTCCACCTGGATTCGGCCGCCAATTTAGCGGGGAGGAGGGAACTTCATAGATTATCTTCGGAGTACAATGAGAGTCAGCGAGAACATGTGGGCTTCCAAATCCATGCTAAGCCCAGAGAACGATTTGAGGAACTTTTTCCGAGCGAAGCGCTGCCCTGTCGATGCAGAGAAGAATAAGATAGGAAAACCGCTCACGAAGTCTTCCGCCAGTTTGGCCGTCGAACACAGCTGACAGGCAGACGACATCTGCTGTCCGAAGAAAAGAGGAAGGAACAATCGCTCCGTACCGTGATCTCTGAGCGTGTGAAACTTTTTCATTCTGAAGTAAATTGACCGGTCCGAAAGGATGTCGGAAACAAAAGTACGGAAATCCAAGGAGCCGAGCGGCGAAACCATAGTCCTGAGCGATACGGCGATGCGGCACAACACGAGCGTGCTGAGTTTCACCCGGACGACAGTCTCCGTTCTGGTGGGTGCTTCTAATTAACAATCATCGAAATTATTCGATTGAATCAGATCAGAGGTGAAAATGTTCCACTTGAGGACGCATGAATGCGCTACCAGCAATCCTTCGATCATAATTCTCTGCCGATCATTCCCGGCCGATTTAGATGAGTTCCTCCCCAATTTCTGGCGCTACGCTCTGAAACAGTCTCAGAGGAAACCATACGAGCTCATCCTCACGAATGAGAGGAGAATAAAACGATGGAACGAGTCGATTGGAAAAACTCGCAGAGAAGGACTCCTCAAGTGTGCTTCTCCTGTTTTTACAGAGCGGATGCTCTGCCGGGATCCTGGGCCTGACATCACTCTATGGCTTCCTCTTCTACTTCGTCACGGCGCTGATCCTATGGGCGATGTTGGTCGTGAAGAACCACAACTCGTGGCAGAAGTTTTTGAAGTCCAGGTTCACATTCCTAACGCATAGCCTCTTGGGAGGATTGTTCACCTACATACTCTTCTGGACCTTCAGTTATGGGATGGTACACGTTTACTAGGTAGAAGAGAGGAGAGTCCGCGTTGTCTCCATAGATTTTTGATACTGTGTGGATGGATCGGCATCGGGATCACCTGCCGGTGTGTGCTTCGGAATCAGAATAAAAGATATGTCGGTATTTTAAATTAAACAGCACACTCCATTCCATGGTCGAGGTCACTCCTCAATCCCTTCAGACGACATCGAAGAGCCCTCGGAGGCTCTGAAATAGAGGAGGACCGCGTGATCCCTCGGAGGAACAGGAATGTTCGAGCGCTCCTTTTCCCTCATGGTGCATCCGTCGAAGCTTCGGTCGGACCTCTCGCTGACATCTGTGCGATAGGCAATATAATATATCACAGATTTCCTGATTGGGTGATCATGAAGGAATCGATGGGAAGGCGTGAGCTACCCATTTTTGAATGATTGGGAATCGCTGCCGAGAGAAATCCTGCTTTTCCTGCTTCAAACTAATCGAGAGCTGGCTCATGATTCTCCTCTACGTCCGATTCCGAGATTCAACTACCAGGTCGGCGACGCTGAGCGGCACGAGGAATATGACATGTTACAGCAGTAGTACCAAAGTATTATAGTCGAAGAATGCTCAGGAAACAGGAGAGCTGGATAATGAGCGCTTCGAATAGAAGTCAAGATGGGAGAACTCGAGCCGGGCTCCGCTTAGAGTCGATTCTTCCTTGTCAGCAGACCCTGGTTTTCTGAAGCAAGGTGGGCCTAACAGAATGGAGGATCCTAGCACCACTGGTATCTACCTCTGGTCTCTACTTATATCGCTAAGGAAGGGATTAAGAGCACAAAACTGAATAACTGCAGAAGAAGGGTATGCGAGAAACGCGTGTGAAAATCGTTTCGGGGGGCCACTCCTGGACTCCTAGGTAACTTCAAAAAACTCCTGCGGAAGATAATAATTGGCGTCTGATATTCGAATATGGCTCTGGGATATATCTCACCGGGTACCGAGTCCCCTCTACCGTTTGCCATTTTGTTTGTCGTTCGTCTCAAGGGTGCATCCTCTGGAAAAGAGGGAACGAGCGACATTATTCAATCGCGCTCATTGAAAGAGCAGGGGGAGCGTGTTCTGGACAGAAGATGGAGTTCAGGCAATCGAAGAGGATCCGCGACAAGGGACGAGCTCGCGAAGCAAGGTTATTTGGAGGAGCACTATCGACGCGGTGCTCGAGCGAATGTCAAGCTTCCCTGCGATTTCTAGAAAATAGGGCGGTTGATCGCGACTTACTCAGAAGTCACCGCAGTTCTGCTGCGATTTCGGTGATTTTCTTCATTCGTCGTCACTGCGGAATTCAACTCGCTTCCTTTAAGCCGACTTCGCTGGTCTCTCCCGGACCACAAATCCGGGGAAATCGTGGAAACCTCGCGTTGACTTTCGTAACCTCGCTTTTCGGATAATTTCGGCTTCATGCCAATTTTACTTCGCAGGGATAACCGAGATCACAGTTCGGTACGAAATCACTCATCCCTCGTTCGGAATCATCTTTTGTCTCTATCGACGATGGAGTACAACAAAATAATTGGATGCCTTGCGAGGATTCAGTTTGCGCATAGCGTTGGGGAAGGGCAATCTACGGCGAATGACAGATCGAGCTGAGCCGGCACACCGGAAGCAGTCCCGCCCCTCCCGGAGAGCCCCTGGAAAATCAGAGCCGCTGAAGTAACTAGATTCGCATCGGTCTACCTGTCCGGGAAAAATAAACTAGCGGAGCTTGAAGTCGCTCCCCGACTCGCACACTCTCTGCGAGCTCGACCGCACGCGGGCTCAGAGATGATCCTTCCCCGCAGAAACTTTAGCCCTTTCTCGGGAAGTTCGGATGCCACCGACCGCTCATAAACGAGAAAGCTCGCGCGTTGAAAGACCGGCGGCCTTTCTCCAGTCAGACAACCACGTCCGTCGGATAGCTATTCGTCGGAATTTCAAAGTTGTTTCGCCCGTCTGCTAACTTGTGGCGGTTTGCATCGATTTGAACTCCCGTGTGCGGAGCGGAGTGTGCGCAGAGGAGATTCCTTTCTCTCTGAGACTGTCGAAATTCGTCTCCAGCTCCAGGTTCCCGGAGGAACTGAGGACCAAGGTTCCTGGATTACCCAGGTAGCATATCGGTTCTGTCGAGGCGCTTCCGGCAACGACTGTCCGAAGCGATTGCATTCGTACTGGCACTTCCTTCGCTCATACCTCTCAGTTCTCGACCCACAGCGAAGAACTGCTGTTCCCCCGAGTTCTGCCTGATCACAGAGAGCTGATGGCGAATCGAGGCGACATCGCTCGGCTCTGCGCTAATCTGTCGCGGATGGGCGTCGAGATCAAGCCGGAGGAATTGCAGAACCTCTCGAGAACGACAACCTTCAGAGTGATGACGGATTTCACCAATGCGGCTTTTCTGGTCTCACCTGAGTGCATGAATCAGCAGTTGGCCATCTCGCTAGACAAATACAATGTCAATTCCGCTGCAAGTCCTTTTATTCAGAACAGGTGAGACTCAAGCGCGATCGCTCACTCTCTCATCGACCCATCTAATATTCCGTTCGTCCATACGATCGATCATGATCCTCTGGGTCCGATTTTCAGATGCATACTCTGGGAAGAAGCGCTCGCTTTGCTGAGCAAAGGGGGGTCAATGATTTTCGACTTCAACGACTTGATGAAACCCGACACGAAAAAGTTCAACCAGATGCTCCAGCAAATGCTGAAGTGAGTTCCTTTAAGCCGATCGTCTTGTCTCAGCTTGATCAGTATCTCAGTACATCTTGAGTTCAATCTCAACTCTTCCAGATATCTCTTCTACGCGGCGAAGCTTTATGACGCGACGAGCGACGAATGTCAATCACTTGAAGAACTTGCGGAGGAAATCGAGAAGCAGAGACTGCATCTCGAGCAGGATAAGGACGAACTCCGCAGTAACGAGCAACGAATAGCTCAACTCAAGGAAGCCAAAATCGACGAGGTCTTCAATCGAGCTGTCGAGCAGTGAGTCCGCAGGGGCGATTTATCTTCCACAATTATATAATCATAATCGATCTATTTGATTATAATCGATTCCGGCGCGGAGGGAATGTTCTTGCCAAAGCCCTTGTGGATATCCTTCAGGCGAGACGAGAGCCTGGAGAAGGCCATGAGATTGCAGAACGAATATGCCGAGCTCAAACTGGTCCTGGAGAAGGAACAGGAGCAGCTGTCCCAAAGTCAAGAACAATCCACTGCACATGAGCACCAATTATCAGAGCTTCAGGATCTCGTGGTTTCTGATCCCGAATCTCAAGTGGCCGCGCTGGAACAGTTGCGCAAGGTGAGGAGGACGTCCAAGACAACGTTCTAATCCCAAAAGCTTCTCTCGATGTTGCTTTGCTCAGATTCTCAAGCTCTATTTCACTCGCCCGCCAGGACTCGGTGACCAAGGGCACGCTCTTCGCCGATCGAGAAAAACAGCTGAATGAGATCGATAAGGAGGAGAAAAGTCTAGCTGAAGAGGAGCGACGAGCCCGTAAAATCCTCAACACCGCCCGGAATATCGGAACGGTCGTCTTGGAATTCGATCACGTATGTAGCCAAGTATCCGAGCTTGTCAATCCGTAATGCTTCAAGGGTCATATCTGAACTACAGGGAGAATTTTCGAGTCGGCCCTCTCGACCCTCGTGAAAGAACCTCGGACAGCCGAATGAGGACGCATCCGGTTCGAACATTGTATCGTTCCAGGGAACGAAACAATTCGAGAAGAGAATAGCCGATGAGCAGAAATGCATCGTCGATCTTCAGAGCGAGCGTGACCGACTGCAAACGAACGTTGAAAGCCGGAATCAGCAGGTCAAAAAAATGAGCGATCAGGAATGCTTGAAATCGGAGACCGTTCAGAGTCTCGAAAAAGAAGACAGTGTCAAGCAGCATGAGCTAGCTAATGAGGCGAAACTGAAAGGACCGCTCGTCTCAGAAGAAAACAGAATAAAGCAAGCTATCAACGAGGTCTACGCCTGGACAGGTCGGTGATTTCTGTAGGTTGTCGACAGGCGAATGAAATCCGAATATCAATCAGTGGATTTCGTTCCGAGGATTTTTTCATGCTTCCGCAGAGGATTTCGAAGCCGCCGGGATCGCCAGAAGCCGCAGGAAGTTCGAGGAGCACATGAATCGTTGGAGCCGGCATTGTGAAGAGGTTCGATTGTTAGAGGCCGAATGCTTGAAGACAGAAGAGAGTCAGAACGGCAAATACAAGAAGCTGCTATCGTTGGTGGAAGCACTCAAAACTCTCGACTGAATTCGGATTATTTGCGATGCTTTCGAAGAACATGTATAAGGATGATCCATAGCTTCTTATGTACATACATATATATAAACATTTGCGTGATCGTACAAATAGGACCACTACAGAAGAATCGACGGCCCCGCTGTCCAGCTCGCGTTCCCCCTCGCTTACATTCAACAGAGAAATTTCGCTGCTGTCACGTATTTCAGAGGAGTCAACGAGGTCTCTCATGGCCATCCGGAACGGTCGGTGCGATTGATCCTAGTGTCTGGAAGAGGGATTTACGTTAGTGAGTCCGATGACCGAATGATCGCGTAGATCAGAGCTCCCCTCGATCCCTCTCGCCAACCCACCTACACCCGGTAAACGCATACGGCGTACGCATAGGGCCGAGGGATGAAGCGATAGCTCCTGAGGAGAGCTTGCTTTTCCGGTGCTCGACCCGGAACCAATTCTCTTAATCAGTGCCGAGGGTCGTTACCTCGCAGATCAGGAGGAAAAAATGAAATATCCCACAACTTCGAAAACAAGGCGGCCGCTGCATCGGACCGATAACGTAGCCTGGGGCCTAGAGCTGCCTCGGTAGCTCCTGTATATTGCACTGCCCGTCTGATTCGAATCTGCAGAACTCATCGTCCACGAGGGCAGAGCAGAACTCCGAACGATAGATATCTTCCCAGATACCGCATTGGGTGGCGGATAAGAAGTTACTTTACACACGCCCCATGAGAGGAATCTATACGCGACTCGTTGATGACGATGTCAGAAATTAGGAGCAATACGTCGAATCGGAATAAGCAGTCGTCTTTCTCGAGACCGATTCCCCGAAAGCGTTGGAAGAGTATGTCAGAGGCCTCGCCTGGGTCTTGACGTGAAAACATCTCTATCCAGGCTTAGCTGACCTGTTCGAGGCAATTCTTCCCCAATCTAGCCGAAAGTTGTCGCTCTTGACGGCCTCATGAACCGGTCCTCATCAGAGGTGGGGTGGTGGCATTCAGTCTCCGAGACTAATCAGATCGGATCCGAGGCTCAATTCAGGTCAGAAACCGACGGTGGCAGACTATGGGCAGCCTGACCGGGAGCAGAGCTTATCCAGGATCAGACCAAAGTATCCCTCTGATAATCCAATGAAGCTCTCGATCTCTGAAATCTCATCGAGATCGGGTTGCTTTCAGAATGGAGTGTCCAGACCGGACCAGAGTAGAGGAGGCAGAATGAGTCGCCTGGACGGGCGGATAGGGCCGAATCAAGCAAGTCTTCGGCGACATCTTCGGCGGATCAAGAATAGCGATGCACTCGCGATGAAGAATACCCGCGAGTTCGCTGAACGCGAATTGATGCCTCCGGAATCTCCTGATGGGTCTCCCGGAGAAATCGACGGCTCCGATGGCGGTCGTCGAGATGGAGACCGAGTTCATAATTATTGAGCTCATCCACGTCCTTGGCATCGTCTTCGAAGTCGAACGACCGTCCCACTCGCAGAGGGTTAAGACCGCTCGATTGGGCTATTAATTTTCGATTCATTAGGTCAGAGGGCTCTGGTTCGTCTTTTGCGATCAGCAGGAATGCGCAAGATGTTTTTACCTAGCTAGCGCATATGACATCGACGAAACCTAGCCTCTGCATTTTTTTCCGCTGGATGTCGCTTCTTCATAGCCCGCCGTATGTCGGGAGTGAGACATGACGTCCCCAAGGAAAGTCGGTATTCGTCATGCTACAAGGCCCACAAGAATCTGACAGAGACCTGCTTGGACCTGGACTGCAGAGTTTTTAGGCACTGCAAGAAGTTTTTGCTTCAGGATGCGAGCGAGACCGTTTCCGAAGCTAGGAGTAGGTTGCGTTCAGTTCCCTCCTCCAGGTGGAAAGAGGCGACCAAAATTGGGCAAGGGACTGCACGAGGATTGAGGAGCACGTCCTATCGGGTTAGAACCACCATGCGTCCTGGATGAGTGCGCGTCGCGAAGGACCACGATGAAGTATTTTCTGGATAATGCGATTCTGCTCTCCTGCACACTAGTCGCCGGTGAGTTGCTGCGGATTCAGATATTCTTCGTGTCGCAGTGTTGCAACAATCGTAATGATATAAGCACCTTGACACGACTCATACGAGTATGCGAGTGGAGCTTTCGAGCTCTTCTTTTTCTCTAAGCGCGAAGACGAAGTCTGGCAAGCTTCCGTGAATTCAGCGCACGAAGCTTCCCGGGCGCTCATCTCTTATATCTCTCACATACATATATGCATCAATCGGGACAAAATCAGACCCTGTATGTCAGCCCCATTGAGATGTAATTACATGCGCAAACGCCATCGAAAGAGTGCAGATAGAAATTGCTACTCACCGAGGCGGGACTTTAGCTCTGAGATTCGTCCTGATTTTCCTGAAGCGCATTAGAGAAGATCCGCCTTTGCGGCGGTCGAAGAGCCCGGTGCTCGGGAGAATCTCCTGATTCACGCTGCAAGAGATCGGACCGGCTGATCTCCATCGATCGCTCGGGTAGCTGTTCCCCCTACGCAGAAAATGAACGAGAATGCGTCATCGGACCCAAGTTGAGACTTCGGACAATTAGTCCATCGTGACAAAATCGCGTAGGGCAACTTGTATTCAGAGTTGACGATCTGTCTCGAGCTCTAGCGAATAAGCGGGAACACGCGACCGTTCTCGAATTCTCCGCTCTGCCCTTCGAACTTTGAGCGCAAGGATTATTCCCGCAGCTGTCAGATGAAGTTTCCTCATTCGGAGTTGTCGTCTCGTGATCATCAGGGGGATCTCAACCTTCCTTCTCTGCATCATCTGTTTATTTCATCCACTAGAATGTCTCTCTCCGATGGCGAGGTGCTGGTGATGGAGGATGCCATTTTTGCTTTTGGAATCAGCTCGCTCCCCGATGCTGCCGGGTGGGTACTTCGCCCCCTCCCTTAGATGTCGTATTCCAGATCACGTCTCTGATATGGGGGGCGTAGAAGCCTCTCATTCGAGTATCCGATCCGTACCGGTGATAATATGGACAGGCGCCCGGGCGTCGAGCTCCTGCCTTGTTCGAGTCGAGGGAGGTTCTCGTTAGGCCATTCGCTTCGAGCTCCTCAGATCTTGTTCTTCAGAGACCCCTTCAGGGGACACACATCGGGATTTGTCGCGGCAGCAACCAGCCACCGCTAGTTTGATGTTTGCCGCGGTATTTCTCGATTTTATTGGTCAGATATCGGGACTCCGGTTCGAGAGATCCTCGGAGCGCGGAATCCGAGCACCCGAACTCTAAGGTCGTCCTTTGAACAGGGGGAAAGGAAGAGACGCCAAATAAGAGATTCCTGAGGTGTTCCTCTCTGCGTCCTCTCAGTGAGCCATCCGCCTACTTGTCCGTCGCCGATTGCGCTGACGGATTCCTCAGCTCGGTCTAACAAGATTCCTGCCGTTCTCTTTTCCTGAACGCCCCATCATCCGGTCGAAGATAAAGCCTCGTCTGTCAAGCTAATCGGGGACTCGAACCCTGAAGGAGAGCTGTAGTGGACGGGTTGGCTGGGCGGTGGTACAGCGGTCACCTCGAGTAGAATTACGGTTCTCAATGGACATTTGTGTTTGAAAATGCCCCGCGCTTGAGGCTGACGAGTACGGAAACAGGTCGATATCGAACCGCATGCAGTGGATTCCTGCTTCGAGAACATGACAGTCTGTAGACCGGGGCAGATCGACACAAATCGATCGCGCGAGCTTCACTCCGTCGCTCTCGATGGCTGTCTACTTCCTCCCTGCCTACCTTCGGTTTTTTTTCATTCGATCGGCCTCCCGAATCCCTATCGAGGGCAATCGCGGAAGAAATCCAGGACGATCTGTCGGAAGCGTTGCACCGCTGCACGGTTGACGTTCGATTTCGTTACCGCTCCTCTACATCGTCCCGGTTCCTCTGTGTGCGTAAGGCTTCGCTCCGGGAAAGACGGAAACGTCAAGATTTCCGAACGATTTCCGTTCGAAATCTCCGACCGCTGCAATTGTGTTCGGCAGTGCAGGATTGGTCCCGTAATTGCCATCGATTATCGACGCCTCTAGCAGCGGGAGCTGGGTCGGCTCACTCAGACCCAAGCATCAATGTTCCATGATTACCCTGTCGTAATCTCGCGGCTGTCTTAGACGATCTCGAACGCTCACCGAACGTCGGAATCACTACTTTATTTGTGGAGCGAGTTATAGCCATTGATCCTGAGAGACAAGCTGCACATTCCCGATCCACTCCATCTTCGTCACGGACAGCGGCGCCCCGATCTCGAGCGTTCCCGCTGGTCGTCAGGCCGCCTGCTGATCAGCTGATCCTCGGATATTGCTCCTGGTAGCTGGAGAAACTGCTGAGTATCTGTCTATCCGATCGCAACCAACTGTATAAGACGACGGCTTGTTTCGCCGGACCGCAAATGTTGATAGAATCCTAAGCCCTGAAGGGCATAGATGGACGGATTAAATCCGGCTTAGATGGAATCCTCTCCGCGAGGTGGGGAAGGGGCCCAGACTGGGATGCGTTCGACGTATCGGAGTCCCCGACTACTTAGCAAGATGCGTGTTTTCACGTATGCCTGCTCCGCAGAAGACCAGGATTGCACGTCCTTTCCGTGAGGAGCGAGGGCAGGAGGGTATCCATTCCCGAGTCCAGCACCACGATTTCTCGTGTGCTTGAATGATCTCACGCGCCAAATGAGGAATTCGACGCTTGATCCAGTATCGAAGATTGATTGGGAACGAAGAAGAATTCGATTCCTCGACGCGGTCGACCAAAACACACACAGAGCTACAACGGGGTTCTGATAGTTTTCGCTGACGCATGTCCTCGGGGGGGAAAAATTCCTCAGGGGCCGGGGATAACACATTCGTTGTGTCTGAAAACCGTATACGGCAGCCGATATTGACGCGTCTGCTATTACGCGCCGCAATGCTTACGTATTGGATTTTTGTTCACTGGAGCGTAGCGGCTCTTCCTGATGCTTATTCAATGTCTGCCCTCTCTTGACCTTTTAACTCCCGCCAGCCTTTTACGGTCAGCTGTTTTGCCTCTAATGAATAGTGCCCTCTCTTTTTAATACAGCTCAGGCCTGCAGATCAGGATCTCGTCCCAGCTTGTTGACTCTCCCGCAAATAACGGATATGGATCCATACTCTCGGAACAGGAGGTAGAACGAGCGAGATCCCACTGGAGCCCGGTTCTCACAGTTTCCGTCTCCAAGTTTGGGATGGTCGTATACCTTTCAAGGTTTCAAAAACCGTGCGTGTCGCTTTGATACGGGTTTCCCAATCGAAGATTTCCTCATATTCGCAGCTCTCGAAGTTCCAGCTTTACGAAATCGAATGCTGGTTGTGGAGTCGAAGGTTTCCATGAGCCCATCGGCCTTCGAGCATCCGAGTCCGAGTGCAAGGATCCGTCTCAGAATTCGAGATGGCTCGCCGGCGCACCGACTCGAGAATGGCGATCTCGAAGGGGTCCACCGAATGAATCGATTTGACGAGATATCACAGCGCTTATCGACGCGCCATTCCAAGCCGACCCGCGCCCTTTCTGGCGAAGGTCAGAGCGATGTCCGAGCTGGGTGATCAGTACGAAGGATTCCCAGATTCTCGAGAAGCGGAGGCTCGTACACTCCTCGATTCAATCTCGACGATTTCCGTAGGGTACGACATGCAATTGAGGAAAATCAACCGTACGCAATGCCTGACTGTCGGAAGCACCACTTTTTCGAAATGTAACTCACACAATGCGCCCCGAGAGAAATGCGTCACGTTATCTCACGAACCGGGAAAAACTAGTGGAAAAATTGTCAAGTTCGGAGCTGCCTCAAATAAAGAACCGCTCGGTGGCTTCTGTTTTGGCGACGCCGGAAAGGTCTGTACGACGGCGAAGAACCGAGACGTAATTGCGGCTGGCTCTCCGCTTCTCCCCACCATAGCTGCCCCTTCGCCCGACTGCTGGTGGGAGGTGGGTGGAGGGTGGCGCCAAAAGCTCAAAGCTCCGTCTTCCTTTGAAGAACCGTCTGAGCGAAGCGTTGCTTCGGGCAAAGATCGCCTGTGGAATTGACCAAATTCAATATCAGAAAAGACAGGCGAAAAATGCCTCTGGCCTTGCGGAAGCCCCTACCCTCTGGTTCCGTCCGCAGACCCTTCTCTGCAGCTAACTGGGAGCTCGGTGGCTAGTTCCGCGTTCCACTTCTCTGCTCGTGTTCTTATACCTTCCCTCCTTTAGCTCCGGTGTAGAGCGCTACACATCGGAGCTACTCGTTCGTTTTCTTCAGAAAGCGCTTCTTAGCATTGGGGTATGCTCCGAGCTCCCGTTGGTTGGGTTCCTCCTTTCTAGCGGGAAAGCGAGCCCGTATTTGTTTCACACTTTGCTTCGCCCGGACAAGCGCGCGTGGAAATAAACCCTCCTCGTCGGCGTAATCGTACTCCGCGCGAACAGCGGAACAAACAGAGAAATACAAACCGACAAACACGGCCGCGCTTGTCGGACCTTGTACGTCTCTGAACGTCGATGACAAAACTCGGGTGTAATCTTGTGTGTTCGTGCTGGATCCTCTGTGGCAGAGCACGGCAGATATGCGGGGCTGGGGAGCCGAGGGTGCTGCTGTTTCATGGTATTAAAGAGGACCCGCATCGACACTGCGTCATCGGCTTCGCTTCGATTGAACGTCAGCAGAAGTGTTCGAACACGGATCCAATATTCGAAGGGTGGAGGAGCAACTCTCAATCAATTTGGGGTCGGTCAGAACTCCTCCAACTCAGAACTTAACCAAAAGTCTCTCACCCGAATGGAGAATATGTCCTCATCCAACGATCAGCGGGCTGCCCTTGTCACAACTCCGGAATTTTTTTCTCCTGTTGAATGGTCCGAGAGTTCAGAGAGAACGAGGCCAAGCCTCGTTAATGCCTCGCAGGGAAAAATCTCGACAGGTTCCGGAGAGAAAGATTCGCTGAAAAAGGAAGAACTGCGACGAAGAAATTACGGTCTTCGGGCGCAATCCGTCTTACGATAGCAACAAGCTCATGGGACAAGGATTTATTGTTGCTTTCATTGATAAAGTTTATCCGGAGCGGCCACGGCGTGTGAACTTCCTGGATCTAAAGTAACTCCCCTGAGTTCGAACGTCGGTGATCCGTCTTCGCAGTGTTCCACAACAAGCCGCGAAAGTCCCGCTCGCTTGCTGCAAGCCTCGGGCTCATACTATTAGCGCGGCTTTTGAATAACAATTTCGCTCTGAGGAAGCGCCCCCATCTTGCTGTTATTTTGCTGTCGCGCAAGTCGGAGCATTCTCCCTCAGAGACAAGGTGCACTCTCGAGCGGGCGTTAATCGGCTCTGTCTTTGGCAGAGTGCGCCGTGATTTATAGATTGTCAGCATCAACAGACCGAACGCGCTTCTCAATCAGAATATCTTTGCACGAGGAGACTTGCTTCGGGAAGTTCTCAAAATTTCCGAAATCAAATGCAGGAAGAGCATCTTTCCACGCTGATAACGGTTGTTGCTGCTTTAGGTGCCAGGGCAGAATCTATTCAGCGAAACGTTTCATTGTTCGTTTTGACCAGAGGATTGTGCGAGAGGTTGGGGTGCAGGGTCGCCCACGATGCATCTAAGGAAGCGTTCCCGAATTCCAGCTGTCCGCGCCGCGACACTCCGCATCAGACCGGTCGCTTTAGGACAAGCGGCCCTCCTGAACTGCTCCTCCGAACACTTCGAAGAGATTTCGAGAATTCGATGGTACCGCGACGGTGAGGAATTCTTTCGGTACGATCGCCGGTCTCGCGAAAAGTTGCTCTTCGAACTACCCGGGCTCGTCGTAGACGTGAGTTTGCTCGATATACATTTATATTCGCCAATTATTATCGACATCCTCCTCACCTTGTTGAGGATGGGTCACGGTTCCTCGAGAGCTGGTCTCCATGAGTCCGACCGGAGGCGCTTGAGAAGCATTGAATTCGCGGAGCAGCCGTCGACCCGATGAATACCCTGCGGTCCGCGTCGATAATAATCCCAGTTACCCTAGCACCCTCAAATGGCATCCTGCCATTTTCCGTAGAGCCGCTCATTCTCAAGCCTCCGGTTCCTGATGAAATCCCTGTAGACAGTCCGTCGGAGAGAAACGCCTTCGCTCGTCCGAGGACTGATTGCACTTGTGACCCTAGTGAATAGTGCATCGTCTCCGTCGCACGGGTAACCGCGCCCTCTTCTAAGCCGGGAGCTTCATAGATTGCGCTCGTGAGCTTCGTCGTGGGCGGAGGAGTCATCCTGTAGAGAGAGTCGTTCAACAGAGCTTCCATCACCGTGCATTATGCACTGGTGACTAATTTTCGATGTCACCCTAGACAATTCTAAACGAATCATCCGTATTCTGACTTACATAAATGCTGAATCCATCAACTGATTCTGAGAGAGGAAGAATTTCCCCCAGGTTCCAAACTCGCATGACGGATTCCTCCGACTGAAGCGGACGGAACCGAGAAGCGAAGGAGTGTTCAGTTGCGAACTCACGGATTCGAAATTCAACGTGGAGCGTGCTGACGCGAACCTGCAGCTGTACGGTGGGTCTCTTATCTCCCTCGAGACGGATAGAGGACGTTTGTCCGATATCCGATAGAAACTTGTTGCATATCATCGTATTGACCACCGTATATCCACTCGTGTTGCCACAGTGTTGCCCCGTGACGAGCCCTACGTCAGAGGGGTGAGAGCGCATTATCATCCGTGGGAGCGTTTGAACGCAACCTGCGAACTCACTGCTCGACCCCAGCCCCAGCTGAGCTGGATCGTCGACGGACACTTGGTGAGTTACTCCTGTGGTCTTTGTACTTGTGGGCGCCACGCGCTCGAGAGATTCGAAATTCGTTCAATGGACAGGAGGGGCTGACAAAAGGACAGGAGCCGACTCTGACTCCACGCCGCTAGCGGAACGGCGCGGCGGATCGGAGGGAAAAAACCTACTCACCTCAGGGAGGGAACGAGATCAAAGTGAATACGTTGTTGCCGTAAGCACCCTCCCTGATTCGGAGAGAGATGGATTCACACACGCCAACTTTTGGATGGGGGGAGATCAAGGCGAGCTCGAGTTGTCAACGGACAGTTTCAATATGGGACTTCCCCGTGGTTTGCTGAGTTTTAATCTCCGCTCTAAGACATGACAATGCGGGAAACGCTCGGATTCCAGATATCTGCCGTGGTCGTGTCGGAGTTTCCTAGAAACTCTCACCTCGATCCTCCTTCTGTGCCGAAATCCGCACCTTTCAAGCGACATGAGATCCGAAAATTCTATAGGAAACTGTAAGGCAAAGCTAAAGAGAGCTCAATATGAGGGATCGTTCCTCGTGCTCCTTCCCCGTGAGCCTCTCTGAATTAAGTTCCGTCCCGCCGAGCGAATTTTCCCGTCTCTCCTCCCATGTTCGGCACATCGAGACTCAGGACTTGACAGAGCGTTCCGCCAGTATTCCTGCCGCTCGGGCGCTAAAATCGACTCATTTCGGATATCGGTCCCGAATTATTGAACTCACTGTCCGCTCCGCAAGATGCCAGATGTGTGGAGTTTTGGAAAATAGTTGAAACGAGCCGAACTCTGATGATTTCAGCCGCCGGCGAATTCGGTCGTTCGGGAGCACTCGGAGGAGCACAACGGACTCGTCAGCGTGGTCTCAGAGCTGCAATTTAACATTTCATCTTTGAGCAAAGATGAACTGAAGGTCGAATGTCGAGCGAAGATCCTCGACGCCTTCGACAGAAGAACTCAGAGGATCTCGGCGATCTCTCCCGGCGCCGCGGAGGAGGACTCTTCAGCAAATGGTTTGTGACAATTCCACTTGGCCGCCTCCCGAGCCAGGAATGACGGTTAGGGAGCGACTGTGAGAGTCTAGAGCAGAGAGCGATCGAGAAGTGTTCATTAAAGTTTCCAATAGCCTGGAGATTTTTCTGGGAGCCTGCGTTGCGTCGCCCTCCCTTCGAAGCTCCCACTCCCACGCCTTTGTAGTTCATGCGTTCCTGAAATAATTATCATGAACGCTACGACGCCATCAGGCGAACTAAGCGAACGTGACATCTGACTGTTCTGAAAACACGACAGGCGAAGACGACGACCCCGGCCCGGTAATATACGGCGGACGTTCGCATTACCACATCGGAGACATCCTCAACTCGACCTGTGTTTACTCGGGGAATAAGCCAGCTTTGCTCCGCTGGTTCCTGAACGACGTCGAGGTTCCCAGCGGTCAGTTGGTTCACTACGTCGAGGGCGGTAGCGAGGCGAAGTCCGCTCTGGGAATACGTTTTAAAGGTACGTTTCGTTTGGAGCAAATGGACTGCTGCAGGCTACCATCATCAAAAACCAAGCTTCTCCATCCAAGGTTTATATCTTCCATTGCGCCCACGCTCCACTCTCGTTCGCAATGATTGCGAAGCCCCTCTTCCCCGAGTTGCCATTCTCCAGAGCGAGCCAGACGCCTCGCTAACGGTTGCAGACAAGAACTGAGTGTCTGGAAAACTCGTCTCCGATTCTCCCGGTTTCTTCTATTTTCCAAAGAATGAAATCACGCCAACCTGTCTGAGTGGACGCGAGCTGCCGGTGTGGCTCCGATTGTGAGGCGACCCGCTTCTCCAGGAACACGTTTGCTGGCTCTGGTCGTGTCGGAGAAACAGGTCTCCAGACCGAAACTGAGCGTTGCCTCACGCTCCGAATTTGCCATGGACGAAGTTATTTCATGGCGATTCCCGGACCAGTGACCTCGCAGCTAGTGCCATTTGAAGTCCGGCAAGAACTAGAGGAGACTAAGTGGACTCGAGGGACCTCCTCGGCGGAGCAGCACCTACTACTCGAGGGGAGTTGCTCGTCTTTTTGTAGACCACTCTCAAAAACGCTTCAACATTAATGGCCGTCCCTACCGCTACAGCTATTCTGGCCGGCAGCTCACAGCCGCGTCCCTGAATTAGACACGGCCCACACGAGATTCGCTCCCGCTATTATCCACTCGGGGCTCGTTGAGGAACACACTGTCGACCCTCGGCAATCGAAAGCATCTCCCGAATTTTTATTTTTCTCTCCCGTACCCATTCTCTCTATCCGGAGGTAATTATAGTGATGGTGCGCGGGGGGTTTGCGAGAGACGGGAGATTTCGAATTCAAGAAACACTTGGAGGCTGAATAAGAGATCGAAGCGATCCGCAATAATTAAGATGGGAGTGTTCTCCGCGCCAGTCGGAGCCTTCTCCGCAGAGAGGCTTCATGGCATACTCTTCGCAACGCCAGACCCTCATAATAATGTGCTCTGCCGAAATTTTCAGTGAAACCTTCACACTTCGTCGATGGACGTCTCACGATAAGATGCGACGCGAACCTCGAGAGCGTGTTCGCGACCCATAAAGCGGTACGGAAAACGAAACTCCGAAAGAAACCCTACAAATCGGCACATAAACGGCCACATCTCTGAAGTGTTATCCGTTTCGAGGGAGGCGAGTCGAATAAAATAAGATTTGAAGATCTCGAGTAGTCAATCTTCAGCTGGAGCGGCTCTCTCGATGTCCTCGAAGCCGGCCAGGGCCCGCCGGCGCCGCTACTCCCATGGAGAAAAAAACACGTTAGTCCCTCTACCTTCAATTTTTGTCCTAGTCCCTTGAGTAGACTGTCCGCGCATCAGCATCCACCTGCGAGGAGGGCTGAGAAACCCAGAACGTTTTTTACAGTGTTTTCCCTCCTCGTATAAGAGCCCAACGACCTGCGGAGGACTCTCGCTCTCCGTGAATTCGACGAACAACTCTGACGGTAGTTTTCGGTAGGTCTTTTTGGGTAGCAGCAGGCGCGGTGGAGGCGACGGCAGATGTTGGACGTGAAAAATAGACGAAACCTAGATTCCGAGATGGAATGCAGACGGCCTGTTCCGCGGTGTGCCTGACTTCAGAGCAGCCGTCCGGAGTTCCTTCAGAGACAGCAAAATGAATTTCCAGATCGTCGCCGCTGCTTCTGCCACCACCTCGCCGCAGCTCTCCGTGAATCTCTGCGACAAGATGTAGCCGTTTCGCCCATCTCTCACATGCCGCCTCAAACTACAGCTTCCTCGGAAAGAGAATGTCGAGGGTCAAACGTCGCCGGGGTGAGAGCTCGTCGAGCAGTCGGATGGCGCGGGAGGACGTCAAGACCGTTGTTTAGTCCTTGGTTTATGAAGGAGTGGCCTAATGGACGCTAGACTCGTCGCGCGAGCACTGAAAGGAGCGCTTAGCCTCAGCTGTGCCCCGGGTTAGCCCAATGAGACACTCGATCTCGATGCTAGGGAGCGCACTGAGCGCGTAGGCGAAATCTCCCTGTATATATACTCCCTATATATGTACGTGTGTACTGCTTAAAGGGCTCGTAGAGGTAAATGAGATGAATTGCGGTGGCTCATAACTCTTCTGCGCCGCGTGGGAACGCTACCTTGGCCCTGTGCAGATGAGGACATCTGTGCAGTCGAAGGGACCGGCAACTTTTGATGAAGGCACTTTACCCCAACCATCACTGGGTGCGTCGACCCCTGAAAATAGTGGATGAGCAGGTACCTAGTTCCGCTGTGAGCGACAGAGCGCCGAGAAATTTCGTGTTCCATGATCCCTCTCGCAAAGATGGACGATCTGTTCGGCTCCCGGCTGTTGGCCAGGGCTGCAGAGTCAGCAATTACTACGATTGGACTTGACTCCCTCAAGTACCCGCGGTGTATCCGGCGTGGCTGCTCGCTAGGGCTAGCCAACAATTTGTTTGTTTTGTAACCCCGGAGGAGCTGCCGTTGACGTGGTCGTCGTTCCTGCATTGGCTGCTGCTCGGAGCGAACCATGATCTTGGGCATCGGTTGGAGAGCTATGAGACGATTTCTAAGGCGCCGTATATATCGTAGCCCGAAGTCGTTCGGAACGAGGGAGAGATCCCGCTCGTTGTATCGAGATCCTCGGCGTGGAAAACTCAGACTCGGGAGGGCACAACAAGTTCATTTGCCCTTGCTGAACACCGTTGTCGTCGTGACTTGCTCCCGAGCGGGTGCCACAGAATCGTTATTGTTGCTGCTGCGGCTACAACGTCTACGTTGAGCTAGAATTTGCCGGAAACGGGGCCGGAAGTTGGTTATCCAATCCAGTTGAATGCTCGGCTCCATGAAGCGAGGCTAGGTACGTCCGCAAGACGTCTGCCGCAGTTTCAGGCGGCTAGGGCGAGCGTCGAAGGAAAAAGGTGGTGGGAAAAAGCAACAGCAAACGAAGGGAGAAGTTGGCGGAGCAAATATGTAAGCAGCAGCAGCAGCCGTTTCCTCGTAAAGGCTGCCGTGCATTCTGCTACTAGGCTGTGACGACTGTACCGATGCCTATTTCCGGCTCTGTATCCTCCGGGGAGGGACTTGTTTGAATTGGCAGCGACGCGAACTCCTCGAGGATCTCGGGGAAGATGAAACGCGCAAGCGACAACGTCTCCGCTAGGAATTCCGGAACATATGCTCGACCGGGATCTGCGACGAACCATGCCTCCCAAGTATTGCGACTTAGACCGTCGTTAAGCGGAGCCGCGGTGCACTCGTTCGTGAGCTCTGCGGTGAAGGATCCGGGTCTCGCTCTTAATTTTGAACTTTACTCCCGACCGATACGCCGCGCCGGTACCCAGTCTCATTTGGGAGTTTTGATACATGGGAGGGCCGTCGATGGGAATATCCGCGAGTTTCCGTCGCACGAGCCGGTGAATATCGCCATGGAGCCCGATACCCAGAGGAGCGAGAACTCGAAACCGAGTTCAGGAAGCTAACAAGGTTGAAAAAATAACGCGCAAAAAGTTTTGCCTTTTTCCAGCGTCGACTCCGGCAGTGATAATTATGGTAATCTCCGACAGCCCTGATTAGTGGCAGCGTCAAGCGACGAACACTCGTCCTCGCTAGGTCGTAAGGGAGAACGCTCTTCGAAACTTCCTTCGAAGACAAGATGCGGACAAGCCCACCCGAGAAAACCTCGGGGAGCGCAGCTCTATGATACGGAATCAACGCGGAATTCAGAAGAATGCAGATTGCTTCCTCGAGGATATAGGGATTTCAGGCCCATCCCGTTCGATGAACGAACCGCCCAGCCCTCTGGAATTTCCACCTGGTGCTACTTTTCGCTCGTGTCGGTGCAAGTTTCCGCCAATGTCGATCTGGAAAAAGTCGCAAGGAATACCCTTATTCAGCGGGGCTCCGGGGCTCCCGCGAAAACCCGTCGCAAGTCGCGGCTTGAGCTCTTTCTGTCGAATGTTCGAGCTGTGCTGCGTTCGCGCCGCCCGAGCAAAAGCCGCTTTGGGCCCGAAATATTTGACAACTGTTTGACGTATTTCCCCGGGGAGTCGTGGCTTCATCTGACCGAAAAGCACAAGGGAGCGAGGCTGAAAAACGAGGCGAGCCGAATGAGGAGCGGAACACGAATGAAATAGGAGCCGGATGAGAGGTCGGCGATCGAAAACTCGTACTCGGAGTCAAAGACGAATTCGAGGGATAATCTGCGCGCTTACTCCCGAAAGATTGCTCCGGACCGGCGCTCCGACTCCTTGTGTTTGCGTCGATTCCCCCGCACAGTTCGTTCTCCGAAAGAGGAGTCGTTCTAGATAGAACGAGCGCAGTCGTGTCGTGCTGGGGCAAGCAGGCGTTTTTCCCGTCCATTCAACTTGGGATGTTCCTTTATGGTACGATGGAGCCTGTCCGGAGCCAGCTACACGAGAAACCACACCCATCATGCCCACCTGGTCGTCAATCCCGTCTCACCAGTACCCCGAGTATTCCTTCCCTCCGCACAACGATTATGCCCCCTTCCTCCTACTCTGAGTCTTCGAACACAGCAGCGCGATTACCTCCGACTGATCCCGAACCTTCCCCTATCTGTGTCTCCGGCGCTCCATTCATCGAAATTTTCCTGCGTACACCCTGCGCATATTGAAGAAGACTCATTCTCGTCGGCGATTCGTGAGAGGTCAGACGCCCACCGACGTCGTTCCGAGAATATTAATGACTGCGGCACGCCAAGTCCGACTGGAGAGCGATCACCTGACATTGCTCCCCACGTCCCTCTGCTACTGTATGTAGACCTTGAAAAGCTTTCCATAGCTTTCGAATTCTGCCAAACTCATGAATTATGCAAATCTGTCCGATAATTCGGGGCGATGATGAGCAAAACTTGGGAGGACCTGAGGAGGACAAAATTCCGCCAGTTTCTCCCGGAGCGAGGAGGCGCTCTGAACGGTGCTGTTCTCCCCTCTGGAGGGGGGGGGGCGGGCTGATCGAGAATATTATAAGCGAGGGATGAGGAGGGGAGGGGGCTAGTGGCGTCCAAAGGATTCCTCTTGGGGGAAGGGGGGGGGGCTAGATCAGGTCCTCGCATGGGGCTGATTCCCAAGATGACGACCCGCCCCTATACCCTCTAGCCCCCTCTGCGGACGCGCCTGGATGGGGGCAAGGGGCGACTTCCGGAACGAATAACCGTTGGAGCTCGCGGGCCTCATCCTCCCTAGGAATATAAACAGTGAAATCGATGACCCGAGAGGAGCAAACGCTTGCCTTGAACATGGAAACATACAGATGAGACAACATGTGTCGGGGAAGGGGTTAATCCACTGAAATTTTGCCCGTCCCCCGTCGACCAATGCGGGAGCTTGTGCGTAAGCCTCCCGGATCCAGGAGCTGTGAGGGACGTTCCAATGGGACGCTGGTCGTTCGCTCACAAAAACCCAATGGTCGACATAGAGCTATGTATGGGATGTGACTCGGGGACTTCGGCTGGTTTCTGTGCTGCGGAGCGGAAGATATCCATCTATTCGAGTCATTCGACCGGCACAACGAACGTCACTTGCGGTTGTTAGAATCCTCCAAGGGAGCAAAATGTGGATGAGATCACCGTGCGCCCAGCTAAGCAGGCTCGATGCGTGGATGGATCTCCACAATGGTTGACCGCTCGCGCGGAAATGGAACAGGTGCCACTGTGGAAAGACGTCAGCGATGATTCACTGTGCCCTCGGGAGGAGACGGTAACAGCGCTGAGTGAGCTGCAGATGGGCTGCGTGGTAGTCGCTGCTCATACGATCGGCTGGGTTCTGACTGCTCCGTTTGCCTGCACGGAGAGATCAACATATATTTCAAGCAGAGACCGACTGGGGGAGGAGTAGAACAATCGATCAAACTCTTCCATCACCAATGGCATAGGAGGCGGCAACGGCTACGCACTAGCGTCAACCATCACGTATACTCTCGCAGAAGCCTCAGACGACAATATAGTCGCAACACGAATTTTCCCCGAACACTTATCACCGTACCCGACCGCATCCTCCCTCACGGCAAAGGAGATTGACGGTGCCGCGGGTGCCGCCGGATTTGCATCAAATTATCATCGAAGTTCCCTCGAAGGCCCCGCAGCTCTGAGTTAGGGACCCAAGCTTCGTTAACCCAAAATTGAGGGGGCCGCTCTCGATTTCCGAAGTTTGGGGTTGCCTCCGCAAATGGGCTCCTGGACAAGC